AGTGACTACGACCATTTTTATAATATCACAACACAAGACAACGCTCCGTCTACCCTAATATCCACTAAAAGAGATGTGATAATATGTCAAGGTGTTATTGCCACAAGCATCCTCGTTCGTTGCTCCACACTTATAATCTCTTAGAAAACAGGGTGTATTTTAGAGCGCAGCTCTTAGGGGCCCGTTCCCGGCTTGAGCGGCGTCGCCGTCGCCGTCGGCGTCACCGTCGCCGTCGCCGTCGGCGTCGGCGTAACCAAGGTCATCCCAAGGTCACGTGACCCCCAAGGTCACGTGACCCCTCTCAAGGTCATCTCAAGGTCACGTGACCCCCTGAAGGTCACGTGACCCCTTCCAAGGTCATCTCAAGGTCACGTGACCCCAAGATGGCCCCACGTGACCCTTTGAAGGTCACGTGACCCCCAAGTCACGTGACCCCTCTGAGGTCACGTGACCCCCGAGGTCACGTGGTCGCCTCCCCAAGGTCACGTGACCCCCGAGGTCACGTGGTCGCCTCCCCAAGGTCACGTGACCCCTTCCAAGGTCATCTCAAGGTCACGTGACCCCCAGGTCACGTGACCCCTCTGAGGTCACGTGACCCCTCTGAGGTCACGTGACCCCCCGAGGTCACGTGACCCCTCCAGGTCACGTGACCCCCAAGGTCACGTGGGGGTCACCTTTGGGGTCACGTGGCCTTGAGGTCACCCCCAGGTCACGCCTCCCCGAGGTCACGTGACCCCCTCCCCGAAGTCACGTGACACCCCCCCCCCCCCGGAGCATATTAAAGAATGAGGGGAGGAGGAGGAGAAGGGGGAGGGGTCTACCCTCCCCTCAGTACCCTTCACTCCTCCTCCTCAAGAGCTGCGCTCCAATTCGGCGTTACAGGGATTTGTAAACGGCTTTCACTTTTTTTTTTCTGTTTCTTTCACCTTATTTAACCCTGTTTTAAAAGCTACTTACTTGTTTGTAGTCCAACTTCTAGGGTTGGTCCACTTTATTTGTAAATTCCAGCAAGTCAGTCACCCGTTTTGTGAGTCAGCTTTTTGCGAGCACTTCGAAAATGGTAATAGTCTTCCTTTTTTCTTCTTCCTGTTTTTATACCTCAGCAGGGACGCATCTTATCTTAAGCAGATATTTTTACAACTAAAACATAATGGTGGCTGACGTAGACTTGATATTCTGGGCTTGAGGAGAGAGTGAAACTCGTGAGTGGGGGGGCCATAGCGCGGCTTAGTTAGTACTCTGCCCTTCGCTGCCCGTGGCATCAGCGGACGTCTACCTGGAGAACACCGGAGTAAACTGCAGTCGGTTCGTGCTCCGTGCGTTTTTGAACGGCACCAAGAAAGGTACACACGGCAAACGCACATTTACATTTCCTTGTTTTAGCAGACGTTATCATTAATTGTTGTTATGGGTGTTTTTTATTTTTTTTATTTTCGATTACTTATATTTATATACTAGAAACTTTTTTATTCACCAACGTCTCAACCGAGGCTCGACCTGTTCAGAACCAAAAGAAGATCGAGCCAAACCTTATTTATTATTTAATTATCATCTTACCGTTACAACTATGTTTTGCTATTGTCTGGTAATATATGCCGGTATAGTAAGACGTACATAAATCAATTATTATTCAAGTTTTTGTCTAGATGTATGATGACTTCTACAGCTTCGCGATTTCGTAGATCAGTCCGATGACTCCGATAACGATACCCGATACTCCGCTGCCGCCTTTGCGCATTCATCGTCTCGTTATCGGGGAGATCTACTAAAACTCGAATATCAGGCGACGGCTGCAACGAGGAAGCTTTGCGCAATCTTCGATGTAAATAGTACTTCCATTGCTTCGCTGAAAAAGCTCAATGCAGAGCATAAAACACTCGTGAGGCAGAATACGCATCTAGTGCCTCAGTTCGAAGGGTGTTCAGCGTAGCAAGTCGACATATTGAGTAAGAAATAACGCAAAATGTCCGACGAGACTTTTGAGAGTCAGCTGTTGCTCAAAATACTCAAGGTCATTAAATGGAACAGGTTGCAACAATAAGAACTTGAACAACACCCTTCCCTTTGTTTCTTAATTGAAGACAATATTGGTGAAAGTAACGGATTACTTTTTGGGATAACGGTCACTTACTTTCATGGGAGGGTAATTGTGATGGTAATAAATTACAATTTAGCCTTGAGTAATTGTAAATGTCCTTCCTTACTATTTTTCAGTAACGTAAACAAGTCTGAGTGCAACCCCTTAAAAAAAAAAAAGAAGAAACTAGTTTCAGGTTAGATTTTAGCTACTACTAATAATAAAAAAAAATAGTATAGTGTGGAGGGATAATAGACCCTTTTCAAAAACATGACAACCCTGTTCGCAATTGGCAACAGAGGGCGCGCTCTCCATGGTGAAGGTAGAGTAACTGTATATGCTCCGCTCTGCAAGCAGAGCCTATACAGTTACTCTAGGTGAAGGTACATGTTTTTTCTTCGGCCCGTTGGCTCTGCGTGAAAAAGCGGCATGGCAAATGCAAGTAACGCGGTTCTGTTTCCCACCGCCAGCTGGGATAATGACCTTACTAGCTAGCTTGGTAGGGGTGAAACCTAAAAACAAAGGGCTCTCATCATGATGTGTCCGCAAGTCATTTTTGGAGTCCACAAAATGTCTAGCCCGCTAAGCTTGCATAAAAAAGATGCCCTCAAGGGCAACTTATTGCGGTACTGTCCCAATACTGCATGGTAGCATAAAGTAAAGTATGGTGCTCGTGGATGTTTCAGTAACATAAAAAAAAAATATTTTCGAAAAACGCGTCTCCAAAATGGAGTTTTTTTTTTTTTTTTTTTTTTTTTTGTCTGCCACGCGTAGTTTTGTTAAAGAGCAGAAAACGGTCGCACGACTGATACGCGAATTCGACTGCTCGTTTAGCTACGCCAACGGCATCTGCCTAACGAGCAACACGAAGTAAAGGTGCAATAAAATAACAACGTAGTGCGTTAAGCAACTGCATGCAAAATCGGGCCGAACGGCAGCAGGTGCACCGGGTGAAACCGACGCTCGTTTATCCGCTTCAGACGTATCCGTGTAACAGCAGCTGGTAAAGAAAACGCAAATTAGTATAATGCAGAACCAATAAAATGCATGCAAATTTGTGAGGTTAGCCAAACGACCGCGGCAGCGGACCGTTTGGCTAACCTTTCAACACTGACCAATCCGGACGAATCCTGATCTTCCGTCCAGATTCGTCGGTGTATCCACCATACTGCGTGAAGACCGGGACACAGCAGTGTGTTGGCACCTTCATTGGTACTCTAAAGCGCTTAAACTGTTCTTAAAACATCAGAAAAAGTGCCTAAAGCTCGACTGGTGCACAGCGAGGTTGCGACCTGCTTTCCTTCACCCTGGCACGCAGCTGCTCACCGTCTCGGTGTTGCCGTGGTTACCATGCCGAGAGACACTGCTGCCGGGTTTTCTGCAAGGGGTAACACGAACATGCAATTGCCGGGTTTTATATGTTTTAATTAAACCAGTCTGCGTTGCGGAAAGTACTTATCCGGGGTCCTCAAACAAGCGGAAACATTAACCGCTCATTCACACTGGAAGCGGATCCGCGTTCGCAAAGCGGTTGCGAACGCGGTTGTATAAATATCCAGTATACAATTGCACGTGCAGTTGATGTCATCGAGTGCGCGTGCAATTTCACTGGATCTTCATACAACCGCGTTCGCAACCGCTTCGCGAACGCGGGTCCGCTTCCAGTGTGAATGAGCGGTAAGACGTGCTCCGCAAAACCCTGTCTGAGCACAGTAGAACAAAAAGGCAAAAATGTGATCGCGAGCTGTGTAGAACTGTGGACGTTGATGACTACGCACGTGCGAATAGTGGATTTTGAATTCGAAGCGAAATGGAAGCGAGAAGTGGTCTTGTCCGAATATTGAATAGTTTCGCCAAATCTTTAACTACTGCACCATGCAAACCCAGCTGAAACTCGTGAAGGTTGTTTCCAATCTTCCACTTGTCCATTTCTAAGCTAGACTAATTTTAATCCATCTATATTTATGGACTGTGGTCTTAGAATGTTCAATGCCTATATTAGGATGGCAAGTAAACGACGTGTTTGATATTAAATTGATCCTATAGAGATGCCCAGCTACACCTATAATCTGGAGTCACTAAATGAGTGACGCTTAGAGTAGCGGCACTCTGTTCTCCGACATTGTTCTGGGCGCCGCCATCCTGGTGCTTAGTACAGAGCAGACGCAACTGCCGATCGTCATGCTTCAAAAGTGTGACTTCCTCAGCATTAGATTCGGTGTTAGGAAGCTCATGTAATATTGATTTGCTCTGTCGCGAACTGTTCAAACATTTGTGGGGGACAGAAAAGCGTTTCCTGTGATTTCAGACAAAGCTTCAGATAACTAGCAACCATAATTTTAAGCCCCAAGATGAGTAAAGATGAGTAAGTGTTGTTACTCTGAAGCATCAGAATTAATTGGGGGGCTAGTTGGTTGAACATCTAGACGGTGGTTTTAAAAGCGCAAATGACTAAGAAGAGAAGGAGGGGACAGGACAGAGCGCTCTGTCCTGTCCCCTCCTTCTCTTCTTAGGCCTTTGCGCTTTTAAAACCACCGTCTAGTTACTCTGAAGTGTAGCTTATTTAGCGGCACTAAACTAATCTAAGGAAATTAGTTTTCTTGCAACACCCGCGAAAACGGTCTTCGCGGGTGTTGCTTTTCCGCAGTGCATCAGTGCTCGATAAGAAGCGCGTACAACGGGAATAACCCGCCGCGATCAAAACTTCGAAAAATCCGAATATCTCAACTCAGCTCGAAGCGAATATCAAATAGCGCATTATTCGAAAGTTAGAATATTCGAACTACCCTCTTGGTGACAGGTAAATCATATATTTTTAGTTTTTGCATGTGTGTGTGCGCGTGGGCGTTTATGTGTGTGTGTGTGCGCGCGTCTGTGTGTATGTGTGTGCCTCGCAGCTTGCATTTTTGTATTATGATTACAGATGGGTCGTTTTACAAGATTAATCAGAAGGTTGTGCATCTACGCCTCAGCGGATGAAGCTGTCAAAAACATCAAAAGTGGATCCAGTGTGCTCATCGGAGGTCGGTAGCTTTCGTAATTCGTGCAATTGAACATACTTAAAATATTTTTCGTCAAGATATTAAAGATGTAAAGAGTAATTTGAGTAACAATATATACTTCAATACAGACTTTCGGAAAGACTCAAAGTCTCTATTGTTACTCAAATTTATCTTAACGTAATCCGTGCATCAAGGCAATGCGTGTCCTTCGCATGAATGATGTCGCTTGGCCCAAGCATGGTAAGCTGTGAGCAGAGGTCGGCATTTTTAGTTGATCTCACTGACAGCTAGCTCAAAATAAAAAAAGCTAGAAACTCACTAACCCTCATTATTCTTCCAGTCCTTACTCACGAACTCACCGAACTCGTGAACTCACCGAACGCCCCTCACCGAAGTCATGAACTCACCGAACTCATGCACTTCACTCAACCTCAAACTCGTGAGTTTTCGAGGCTTACGAACTTACTCACCCTCACCTCACGCATGATCGGTGAGGATGAGTGATTTGAGTGAGTACACTGATGAGTGAGTTTTGCCGAAGTCTGTGAGCATGCTCAAAACAGGGATGGAACTGCTGCGCCAAATGCGCCATTGTGAGGCTGTTGACTTTGCATGCGCCACACTGATACAAAATTATAAATAAGGACGAAATTGCTCCAAGGTGCGCCCAAACTGAAATTATAAACGATCCTCGTCAAAATTAGCCGTTTCGCAGTTTTTGTTGGCGATATTAACATCGGAACTTCCGGCCCAAAGGGAACGCCAGTGGATCCGAATCCGAATCTGTATCCAAAAAGCAGGGCCGGCCTTTGGGGTGGGCGACCTGTGCAGCCGCACAGGGCGCCATTCAAAGGGGGGCGCCGAAAGGGCCGCCAGGTCATGCAGGGCTCAAATCTCAAAGTGTTAAAAACAAAAATAAAAAAAAATAAAAATTGCGGGGGCTTAGCTCGGCTATGCCAGGATATGTAGCGTGAGCTTATGCGCACAAAATGAGAGGCGCTATCAAGCGGCTCCGGTGCAGCGTCGGACTTGACTACTGTGCAACGGAGGCACACAGCTGGGCACGCGGCGGCGCCAGTGCGTTTGCCACGGCTATGATGTCACTCCTCTGGAATGCGGGAAGTCGGATTTACCTTGGCTGCTATCGAGGTTGTCCTGCTATATTGTGTCTTTATTCAAGATTTTCGCTGCTAATTCGAGGTAAAAACGATACGACCCTCGCTATTGACGCAACGGTCACCGATCATGGCTGAGGCGGGTCATCCCGCCGGCCAAGGCTCACCGTCGATCAAAATGGAACTGGATGGACAGGCTGAGCGGCCATCATTGGGTATGTCAAGCGCTTCAAGCACAGTCTCTTACTATGAGAGCATCTCTGACGAGCTGGACGCCAACTCGGCACCTTTTCAGCTCGTTCAGAACCGAAAGAGACGCAAAGCCTCAACTAGTTCGGAGTCAAGCGACAAGACCGTCAAGACTATGAATCATACTGATCCCCACCTCACGGTGATAGTCAGACCCAAGGATCCAGACAAAGTGATCGCAACCATTAACCCGAAGAAAATTCAAGAAAAACTGGACATGACTGCTCCAGACGGGGTGATCCTGGTAAGGCCAGACCGACGACTCAACGTACTGGCAATTGACACCAGGAATAGAGACGCTACGAAAGCCCTCCTTGCATTCACCTCACTAGACGGGATCGCTGTCCTGGCCTACGAACCGCTCCCACGACAATCGGCGGCCGGGGTGATCTACGAAGTACCAGCAGACCTTACTGAGGTCGAACTTCAACTGGCAGTTCGCACTACTGCACCTGTTATCTCCATCCGACGACTGGGTAAATCCGAGACCGTCAAGCTCGTCTTTAGCACGGACACTCTACCAGAGTACGTTACAATCGGATACACAAGATACAAGACACAACCGTACATCGAGAAACCACGTCAATGCTCCAAATGTAACCGTTTTGGGCACGTTCGAACCGCCTGTACAAGGGAATCGCGATGCGCTCGCTGCGGGGGACCCCATGATTGCACCAAGTGCGAAGCGGAAGACCCACTCTGCATGAACTGCCACAAAGCACACGACTCTACATCTCGTCTGTGCCCGGCATACAGAAGAGAGCAGAAAATATACAGGTACAAGAGCGAAGCTAAGGTTGGTTACACCTCAGCAAAAGAGGCTCTACGGTCTACACAAGATCAGATGTCCACTGGCCATGCCAGGACAGCAGGAAACCAAGCAAGAAACGACGTCGCAGCTCACGATTTTCGTGCTACACGAGATTCCCCGTCAACGCAGCAATCCAGCGTGAAAAAAGCCAAGACCTACTCAAAATCCACAGAAGCTACAGCTCCTACTTTGCAGCTAAATGATGACAGAGAATTTCCAGCACTTCCTGGATCTGCATCAACTTCGCGTGTCGAAGATAAAGAAAATAGGCAACCCAAGAGGGACCAGTCAAGGGCATCAACCAGGGAGCAACCACCTACGTCCGGGGTCAATCTCCAAACCATCACCAACGTTGTCCGTAATATTCTTCGTTCATGGGATTCTCCTATAGCCCAAGCACTATTAACCATACTAGATGCCATACTTCCGCTTGTTATGATCTGGTGTCATTAGACAAGCTTCGTAGAGATGCCACCGTCCTTCAGTGGAATGCGAGAGGCCTTCGAAATCGGCTCTCGGACTTTAGACAATTCATATTCAAATATCCTGTTCCTATTAAAGCAATATCAGAGTCGCGAGTGACGCACAGCATCAGACTATCAGGGTACGAGCTTTTTCATTCCCACAGAACAACTGGTCTTAGCCGAGTTTTGGTCGGCATTCGAAAGGACCTGACCTATATTCAACACGATATTCCATCGCACCCTACAAATGAGTATATTGCTGCGACGGTTAAGATAGAAGACATTTCGTTCACACTTATTGCTAGCTATATACCTCCTCGAGCAGCCTTGGACATTCAGAGGCTGGATACAATTTTACAGCAAACCCCATCACCACATTTTCTGACAGGAGATTTCAATAGCCACCACTCATTATGGGGAAGCAGAAAAATTAATGCTCGAGGGCAAGCCTTATTGGACGTTACACTAAAATATGACCTTGCAATTCTTAACGACGGTAGTCCGACGTATTTCAGAGGTGCATCTACGAGTAGCTCTCTAGATTTATCGTTCGTATCTTCATGTCTCGCTGAGGGAGCCAGGTGGTTCGCTGATATTGAAACTCATGGGAGTGATCACGTGCCCACTTACACTACGTTTCAAGGATTGCATTGCTTGAAGAGGCGTACCACAATGCATTATACTGACTGGGATATCTTCAAAACAAAACTGGAGTCCGCCTGCAATACACTAACGGAGACAGAAGGATTTGTTGCGGCCATCAACTCTTCAACCTCCGAAGCGACCAAAACCGTCAATATGACAAACCCCCCGACAGCTATTGATGGAGAATACGAACGACTGCGTGCCATCCGCCGGCGAGCTGAACGCAGGGCAAGAAAAACTAAGAGTGCTGAGGATGTCAGGGCTTCTAGGAGAGCACAAAAGCGCGTTATACGACACTTGGACAAGCTTTCCAAAAAACGTTGGCGGTCTCTTAGTGCCGGCCTTGATCCCAGAAAGCCAGTTACTCGCATATGGCCCATGATGCGAAGCTTGCGTGTTAGGCCGCAGCAAGTTCATCCCTTCCGAGCCATCGCTTTGAGCCGCCAAGTCTCAGCAGTAACCATAGCCGAGGATTTCTGTGTCAAGATCACCTCCTGCTCTACTCTTATCGACTGCAGAGTGAATACGACAAATGACCACCCATCCGTAAGTGTATGCAATGCTGTTGAAGCATATTTTACTTTAAAAGAACTTGATATGGCACTCTTTGCATCTAACGTCAAGTCGTCCTCGGGCACGGATGGGATACGATACTCAGCCTTACGTCACCTGGGGGAAGCGGCTAGAACCTTCTTGTTAAAGGCCTTCAACTCCTCATGGAAAACAGGAATTATACCGAGGCAATGGAAAATTGCTCGTGTGTTGCCGATCTTCAAACCTGGAAAGTTTCCCCTAGATATTAATTCGTATCGTCCAATTGCATTAACAAGTTGCATGAGCAAAGTAATGGAACGAATGTTGCTAGCCCGTATGGAATGGGATCTAGAAAATAGAGGATTATATCCCTCGTCCATGAATGGATTTCGACGCGGAAGAAGTAGCATCGATAATGTTATTGATTTAGTGACAAGCATTGAACAAACGAAGACTGTCAACAAGATAACAACAGCTGTATTTGTGGACATAAAATCGGCATTCGATACTGTAGAACACGGGGCCATTCTTCACGATCTGGGGGCCATTGGCTATGGAGGACGCATATATACGTGGATTGCAAGTTACCTTGGAGAAAGACAAGTGTACATATCGACGCCGGAGGGCAACACTGGTTTTCATGAAATCAAGAGGGGAGTACCGCAAGGGGGGGGGGGGGGGGTCATTAGCCCCATGCTTTTTAGCATTTCTCTAATAGGCCTTCTTAAAATACTTCCTAAAACCGTTCACGTATCTATATACGCTGATGATATTTGTTTCTGGGCGTGCAGTAGGTCTCTCTACATAAACAAAGCAAGACTACAAAAAGCAATAAACATCACAGCACGCTACCTCCACGAGCGGGGTCTGCATATATCACCGGACAAATCAGCGGTGATGGCATTCAGCAGAAAACACACGGACAAATACCCAATCGTGATCGATGGAAAACCAATTCCTTACGTCACTGAACACACGTTTCTGGGTGTCACTCTCGACAGGCAACTGACATGGAGCCCCCACATAAAGCGCCTAAAGAAAAAGCTGACCTCGTTTATCGATATAATCAGAATGATTAGTGGGACTAAATGGGGATGTTCTGTCTCTGCCCTAATGGCCCTATACAATGCTCTGTTTCTCGGCCTTATGCGCTACAGTCTTCCTGTTATACATAACGCATCACGGTCTCTTAAAGAATTAGAAAGTGCCCAAGCACAAGCTCTTCGAGCTTGCTTAGGGCTGCCGAAATGCACATCGAATGCGGGAACTCTGGCTGAAGCACGAGCAGTTTCACCCGCCATTTTAAGGACACAAGAAACGTTGCGAGCTCATCTTCGTCACAAAACTCGAATACATAAACATCATCTAGCAAATATCTCAACAGAGAGACCATCCTCAGGATTTGCCCAAGTAGTCACGCTTTTGGAGAATTATATTCCCAGATCATCTGAAGCGGCTACAATTCCAAGATATCCACCGTGGAAGTACCCCCCCTTAGAAATCAGAACAAGTATCCCAGGGATCACTTCGAAAACAAAGATGCCTGCGCCGGTGATCACCCAGATTGCTCTTGAATACATCAATAAATCATACAACTCATTCCGCCACATCTTCACTGATGGCTCTACAATGACGTCATCATCGGCTCTGGGAGTCTACATTCCTTTTACGAGAACATCCATAAAAGCAAAGCTGAGCCGCGTCACCTCATCAACGGCGACAGAGCTCGCGGCAACTCGAGCAGCAGTGACACAAGCGGGAACTGTTGAACCTCAAGTTTGGGCAATATTTGTTGACTCGAAGCCCGCTCTCTACACCCTCTCCTCGATGAAAAAAAGTACCCCATACCTACAACTTGCACAAGATATTTTGGAAGCAGCTCGCCAAGCTTCGTGCCAAGGGCACCATTTTATTCTGCAGTGGGTTCCTGCCCACTCCGGGATAGCCGGAAATGTTCTTGCCGACAGAGCTGCTAGAGATGCCCACGAGAGCATTAATATTGTCTCTATACCATTCTCGAGACCAGATACAAATAGCATGATAAGAAACATTGGCCAAGAAATAACATCGTCTCTTTGGGAAGACCCTCAATACCACTACAGATATCTTTACAATATTGATCCTAAGCTACAGTTTCGGGCTCCACGAGGTTTGCCAAGAAAAACGGAGACCGTGCTACACCGCTTGCGGCTTAAAGTTGCGTATACCAACAGCTACCTTCACAAAATCGGAAAGGCTCAGTCTCCTGAATGTGCATCGTGCGGCGGCGTCCATAACATCCAACACGTAGTCTGCGAATGCGAGGAATACAGCCATGAAAGGCAGTTAATGAAGAAACACCTCAACATCAAAGAGGACGAACAAATAAGCATCGACATCGTATTTGGACCCTGGATGACATCTTCTGACGGTTATAAGGCCACAGAAGCTCTCCTGACGTTTTTGAAGAATACTCGTTTACAGCACAGGCTGTAGTGTTCTAAAGTGAACTCAAGTGGTAAATGACGCTTGCCATTGAAACACTCACATCTCCATTTATTTTTAATTTTTACCTTGTATCACTTTTTTATATTCTCTTATACTTCCTTTATATCAATTTTGTTTTCTTACCTTTCTCTACTCCTTTCTATTTTTTCTTTGTTTTTCCGTTCATTACACAGTGTAGCAAACCAGCACAAGGCGCTGGATGACATCACTGTTTTAATAAACGCCTACTTTTCTCTCTCTGGAATGCGCAGACTGGCGAGGCGGGCGCGGCGGCGGCTTCGCGTGGCTCTCATAATGAGCCGTGCTCATTATGCGAGCCGTGCTCATTATGAGAGCCACGCGAAACTGCTCAACCTCGGCCAGTGTAGCTAACGCTACAAAACAGCCGTATCGCCGGAGGGCGCCCCCCCCCCCCCCCCCCCCTTCATAAAGAAAAAGGTGATGGCGCTCGCCGTTTGGCATTTCGGCCGCAAAACCAATGACTGTGCAGTCTCTAGCTGTAGGCTAAACGAACCGACGCATCCTCGGCATCCGGTGAGCCTCTATGGGACAGAGGCTTCAACCCGACTGAAAGTTATATGTGTAAAGAACTCTGGAGCCGCACGCTAGGAATGCAGAGTTAACAGCCTGAAACCCGTCCGCCACCAGACAGCTGAACTTCATGACGCCCTTGTTGGTTTGGCCAAATCACAGCAGGCAGACCTTGGCGCCCGACATGAAGCTCGAACTCTTGCAGGGCAGCTCACGAACCTTAAGTTTCTCGTTTCCATTTTTGTGTGGTACCACATTATTTTTCAAGTTAATGTTGTAACCAAGAACATGCAATGCAAAACGAAGGACATCGTTGCGACCACCCAGCTGCTGAAAGCATGCAGCGATTACATCGACAATTATCGCGATGTCGGGTACGAAACTGCACTGGCAACTGCGAACGGCCTTGCCGAGAGCAAGGGTGTTGACAGTGTGATGAAATCGGCCCTTCGACTCCGGCGAAAAAAAGCGCCGATTCTGTCATGAGTGCCAAGACGAGGTTGATGATGTCGAGACAAAATTCAAGCGAGAGTTCTTTTACGAAATGATTGACACCGTAAATATGTCGATTGAAGAACGTTTCACGGTGATGGAGCAGCACGTGAGCCTCTGGGGGTTCCTTTACGACCTCACCCGACTTCCTGACAAAGCAGAACTTCTTGAACTGTGCCGAGGCTTTGACCACGCACTGAGACACCTAGGAAGTGCAGCCATCGACGGTACAGATCTCTGCGAGGAGCTGATCTACCTATACAGCCTGCTGCCCACCGGATGCAGTGCTCCCCAGGACGTTCTCCAGTTCATTCAGAACAACCATCTACGTGACAACTTCCCTTATATGAGGCTGTCCGACGTCACCCACTATGGTGGCGCTGCTGTCGGCACTGGGAACTCGCAGTGCACCCAAACCTAATGTAAACAAACGCGAGATTTTTTTTTAGAGCGCAGCTCTTAGGCGCCCGTATCCGGGTTGAGCGGCGTCGGCGTAACCGCGCACGTTGCATTAGGAAAAAAATGCCCCGCTAAATTTAGCAGAAAATTTTCCCCGCTAAACTTAGCGGGTAAATTTTCCCGCTAAATTCAGCGGGGAAACTGAATTGGTGCTGAGGTCACGTGACGTGAATTTACTAGCTAAATTTAGCGGGGGAATTTTACCGCTAAATTTAGCGAAAAAATGTCTCCACTAAATTTAGCGGAAATTTTCCCCGCTAAACTTAGCGGGAAAACCTTCCCACTCAGTTGAACGAGGAAATTTTTCCGCTAAATTTAGCTGGGAAATTCGCGTCACGTGATCTCAACACCAATTCAATTTCCCCGCTAAATTTAACAGGAAAATTTTCGCTAAATTTCTCCGCTAAATTTGGCAGGAAAATTTCCCCACTAAATGCAAGGCAGCAGGCCAGGAGGAGAGGAGGGTACGGAGGGGGAGGAGGTGCATACCCTCCCTCTGTTCCTTCCCCTCCTCCTCAAGAGTTGCGCTCTAATTCGGCGTTACAAATAATTGTAAACGTCCTTAATTTTTTTTTTTTTTTTGTAAGCAGCGAGTTGCTGTATGCATAAATCTTGCATTTTCTCACAGCGCCCTGGTTTGTTTGGCATTCAGGTTTCGCTCCGTGCGGGTTTCCGGAAGCTCTGGTGACTGCACTGTCCAGGAGGTCAGTCAAGGACCTGAAGATCGTCTCAAATTCTTGCGAAAGCGGAGACTCCGGAATCAGCCATCTCCTCAAGGCAAAGCAGGTCGATAAAGGGTGACCTGTTGTCTGTCGAACCGTGTTCTGACGGGGCAACAGCAGGGCCCGCCTAAAGAGACTCTTTTCGAAAGTCAAAGCCATACGGTGGAAGTCTTAAAAGCTCTATTATTTCCGCGCTAATGGCGCAGTGATAGGAGAACAATGTCACCTAATAAGCACCCCGGACTTCGTGAATCGAAGGCGTCGTACCAGAACCAACTCCCGCCTTCTACCCTATGCTTTCGAAGATGTCAGATTCTTTTCTGGTGTGGACAAGCTGTTTATAGGGTTGCCATTAGAGCGTCAGGTCTGGCTCCGGACAGAATGGTGAGACTGACTTTTGAAAAGGGTCTTAGCCTCTTGACGTGGGCAGGTCGAATTATCCTCATAAAGAAACGATGCCAAAAATCTATTGAAGAGTTTTAAATGGTGGTGGAAACAAGCCGTAGTCTTCGCTCCACTTCCGCACAGTATCCACTATGCGGTGAGAAACTGAGAAAGAGGATGAGATGGATGAGAGCGCGCTGGGGCGTCAGGGCACTGCATTCATGAATGAAGGGATTAGCGAGTATTGGATGGTAGGGTAGACTTAAAAGGTAGCTGCCTTAATTTGTAGCTACTCACTGTTCGAACGCTTTCGAACGCCGAACACCGCGTTCGAACGCGAGACACTACGCGAGAAGGAGGAACAGACGACGCTCTTGTTCGCTCTGATGGGACGGAGAAAATGGGTATGGAAACAACCGCCACCAGCTTTTGCGACCAACCACTTTCCAGTCAGAGCTCGGCGTTCAGGCGTTCCCACGCGCTCTCGTTTCCTCCTCTCCCTCTGTAATGAATAATTGCATTTTTATCGAAACTAACTCGGATTACGGTAGTGTGCATCGTGCGCTGTGGACTATTGGCATCTTGAAACAGCGTGAATGTTATACTGACGGGGAAAAGAAGTGGACGATACAAACGCTGACTAACAACTGAGGGTTTATTCTCGATTATAAGTTGTACGATCTTCCTCTATCTAGAAATTCTACCTCACTGTCTATCGCCTGACTCACGCCAGGTTGTGCCCTCCTCCTCTTATTCTGTGAACCTCTGCAATCTCGCAAGCTTTTGGGTCCCTGTGTTTACACAACAAGGCGGCACTTTCGTAGTAAGCATGTACATGCGCAGTGACGGAAATGCATTGCCAAATGTGAGCACGCGGTGTTAACGAACTACGCTGCTCCCGGAAGCTAATGTTGTGACATTTGCCCGATGTACACCTTCCCGCACGAGGATGGTATAGGACGCCCTTTTTGCATGGTACGAACTCGATGCGGTGCTTGATTCCGCGCCCGCTCTCCCTCTATCTTTCTTTTAAGTTCGCGTGTGTTTCCACAGCGGAGCATATTCAACTTGTTACTTGCTGAAAACACTACATCTACTCATGTCTTGAGGCGGCTCTTTTAAAACCGTGCGACATGTGGTGCACGTAAGGGATGACTGTCACATACGTTGTTGTTATTTTTCCCTTTTAGTGCAACGGCATTCTTTAGCTAGCCCCCCCCCCCCCCCCCCCCCTCAATTTCGCGGACCTTTCTGGCCTATTTTACTAAATTTCTGGTAAATTTGGCGCGAAAATTGATGTCACGTGACCTGACCTACAGACCTACAAACAAATGCAGGTTCCCCGCTAAATTTCGCGGAAAAAATTGACCTCACGTGACCTATGTACCAATTTAGTTTCCCCGCTAAATTTGGCGAGAAAACACATCACGACCTTGAAATCATTTATTCATCAAGAACGTATCGACACTAAATCAACGCGGCGCACGATCGCCGCAATCTGAATCGATCGTTTAATAAGGTTGGCCTAGACGTCGTCCTGGCCTCGTAACAAAAGGAAGCAACAATAGTGGTTTCTGCAACCAATGTTTTCGTAACTTTTCCCCGCGCCTCTCCTTCAATACTTTTTTTTTTTTTAATGTTCTTTCCTCGGCTAAGGCCATTACCGACTCTGAGTAACAGTCTCCCGACCTGGGCGGAAAGGCTTCTTTCCTTCGTCCCGTAAAACATTCACACTGTTTCAAGATTAACCCCTACCAAGTAGCCCAATTATCCTGCTTCTGAAGCAAGGAGAGTTGGCCCGCAGTTAACCAGTTGCCAAACACCTTACACGCGTACCAACTGCGCATGTTTGCAGGCGCGAGTGCTGACGACGTCATGAGCCACCGCGAACCAACTGCGCGTGTTCGCAGGCGTCGCATGTTGGCGAGCCGTCATGGCCGCCGCCAACCAACTGCGAGTGTTCACAAGCGTCGGGTCGCGTGTTGACGACATGTTATCAATCACCATACACGATGCTTGTTCACCACAAGTCTGATCCCCGTGGTGCGATTTTACTTGCTATTTTACAACTGGGGCGATGAGCATCGCTGCTTCCAGCACGCTTCTTTTTCGCACGTGCGATGTCGCGATTGCGAAATCGCAAGTAAAATCTTTCAGGCATCAGTCAGTGCGTTCTCCGTGTCGTCGTAAGAAGAAAAAAAAAGTAAATAAAGCGCGACAAGGCGACGTTTCGAGAGGACACGGCGGCCCCTGCCAGCAAGACGAACTGAGCGTGGGCGGCTTTTCTCATAAATTGCGATCATTTTGCATGTGATCATCTGATCGATAGATGGAGCTGCGGATGCTTTCTATGTGCACTGATTTATTTGCACTCTTTTTTCATCGACACTTGCAGCATATGCATCGGTGCATGTCTGAAGCAACGATACAGTGTGTGACTGAAACTTTAGTCGTTTTTCTTTTTAAGCAGCTTATAATGCATAAAGTTAAAGTTATACGTCTGCTAATTTGTGCAGGTAAAGAGTGTGATTACCTCATTCGTGGACGGTAATCCCGAATTCAAGAAGCAATACTTTTCCGGAGAGATGGAGCTGGAGTTTTCTCCTATGGTATGAGGTTCCATATTCGTGCTTTAATAGGGACCTTTAGCAAACCGTTGCCGAGCTCCGCGTACCGCACTACCGGAGTTTTTGAAGCATGCTTTTAAGAGCGCGCCCGGGTGGTACCGTGACCGCGGGGCGCGTGCTTCAAAGCTTGCTTCAAAGGCTCCGATATAGTGCGGTACGCTGAACACGGCAGCGGTTCGGTAAAAGTCTCCATTAGAGAGTTTTAGTAGATCGTTCCCATGACTCCGATAACGATATCCCGATACACCGCCACCGCCTCCCTTGCGCATGCATAGTATCGTTATTGGGGCTATCTGGGGTATCGGAACGATCTACTAAAACCCTCTAATAACTGTAACGTCGTTACCTTTTCTTGGTCCATTCTCGAAATACGAATACACGTACGGATAAAACGAGTCGGGGAAGAGTTACTATTCAGTAATTAAAATCATGCCTACTTCTTAGCGAGGCATATTTTGGATGTAATATTACTCGCCCTGATTAAAACTATTTCAATGGTCAGCAAAAAAAAAAAAAGTTGCTTTTATTAATAACTGTTAAAAAAATTCAATCTGGAGTGGCGAGGGCCCCATTACACGTTCGGAAACCTACAGGGCTTTCAACTTCACTATTGCACCCCCCTCCCCCCCCCCCCCCCCCCCCCTCCCATAATGAAAACACAAACACCCGGCGCAAGTCAGACGTCATTAGGCAATCTTATAGCAGATACTTTTCACTCTGATAGCGATACCAGAGACAGATAAGGTGTCGTTGCGCATGCAGGTATCAAATATCATCACCCGAGTGCAAGAACAGACTAATAAAGATCTGGCCATCAGGTCCACATGTAAACGTGTACTCATCGCTTCGGCTTGCGGCAAAAATCGAAATATACAATTGTTTTTTTTTTCTCTACAGATTTGTTTTAGAAAACCATTAAAGCTACACAAATATACGGTCTTTGCAGGTGGGTTATACGACCAGGGGAACATGATGCAGGGGCTAATCGTACTGTAAGCCGAAAAATTACCTACAAATTGTCAATTAACTTTTTAATTAGTTAAAATAAGCTTATTGTTCCAATTAGAAACTTGCTGAGCGTCATAAAAAAAACGCCATATCAGTAACTTCTAGGGAGAATTTGAGCGCGTGGAAAGCTCAGTCGTGCGCTAAAGTTACCACTCGTATACCAGGCACAAGGCTGCAGCGGTGAGAAAACACGTATGATAAGAAACGGAAAATTCGCGCGGGCGGGTTATCGGTATACCGATAGCATGCTCCAGCTGCCCGAGTGACAACTTTAGCGCCCCACCCTGCTTCCCACGTCTTCCAAGTCTTTCTAAAATTTAGATGATGCTCAACAAATTTCTAAAGAAAATCATATGAATATTTTCACTAATCAAAAAGTGAAAATATCTCTCAGTTATATAGATATTTTGTTTCCTTGGCCCGTAACTCACCTGCCCAAACCACATTAGTGCAACTTTCATGGTTGTTTTTAAACAAATATGTTAAGCCCAAAAAGAAAACTGCGTAGGGAACGTTGCCATTGTCTCTTTACTTTTACCAATTCTTATTTTATAGGCGATGCAGGACGTCCCCATAATTCGTTGAGCTCTTCGCACGCGCCCTTGTGGTATCTCTAACCGCTCATTCACACTGGAAGCGGATCCGCGTTCGCAAAGCGGTTGCGAACGCGCTTGTATAAAGATCCAGTGCAATTGCACGTGCAGTTGATGTGATCGAGTGCGCGTGCAATTATACTGGATCTTTATAGACAATTGCAAGCATGGCGCCACAAGTGGTGCCCCATGCGAGCAAGCGCGTGCAACGCGCGGGTGAACGTAGCTTTGGCAAGCTCGTAATCGCACGGGCGTGCCTGCTCGAGCAGAGACATGGCGGCGGCCAGTCGCCCAGCTTGCAATCGTCTATACAACCGCGTTCGCAACCGCTTTGCAAACGCGGATCCGCTTCCAGTGTGAATGAGCGGTAAGCGAGCTGGTGAAATTTCAACATCTTGAACGCCCGACACTACACGAAACAAAAGTGACAACTTTTTGTTTCTATTTTCGGGTGTTCAAAATCGGCCATGGTGGCGCGAGCGCGTCCGTGACATGAACATGCTCGCATGGCAGCAAAGCGGCAGTGTAGCGTTTGATCATGCACACGTCACGGTCTTTTACAAGCGTCTGCCATCATGTGTCTATACGCGCGATAACGAAGCGTCAGAAAGAACTATATTATAAACAAAAATCAAAATGCAGCTCCCGCTTTCAGTGTCCTAACCAAACAGCAAGTGTTTGTCTCGTAAATCTGTGTTCGTATTTTTTTTTTCACGTTTATATTTAAAAATGCAATTCTGCTAGCCAAGTGTCCGCGAGGAACGCGAGAAATTGCAATAACGCACGACTGAAACGTGGCCGAAAAATATTTGATTTCGCTCGACAGAGGGGCTGTCCAAACATGAGAGAGCAACAGGCCTATTAACTATAGTCCCTGTATTTTTCATGTGTGGGGTAAAGCTAGTATTACCACCGTGTTTTCAGGGAACGCTAGCCGAAAGGGTTCGTGCTGGCGGAGCGGGCATCCCTGCCTTCTTTACGCCGACAGGCTACGGCACCCTCGTGCACACGGGCGGTGTTCCCGTCCGTTCCGATGGGCGAGGAGGAGTGGCCATCACCAGCCAGCCCAAAGAGGTGAGGTCCCGTACATTTGTTTCCCGATAAAGACCCACCTGGGGCTCGGGATGGACAGTCGGCGAGATCGCCAACGCCTCTTGTGAATCATCGCCGCGAGCACTTGTGTCACACCGTAACGACGCACGCTTTGTAGCACCGGGTGTTCAACGGCAAGAACTACATCATGGAGCATGCCATCACCGGGGACTTCGCGCTCGTGAAAGCATGGAAAGCAGACAAGGCTGGAAATCTCATGTTCAGGTTGGTCTGTAGTTCTTAGCGCGATCGCGTTTTGTCTCCGCCAGGGGTTGGGGGCAGTTTAATAAAGACCCGCCGTAATACCTTTGTTACACGGGCACGCTCTTGGACAACATTCTCTGGCTATGCAGTCGAAGCTGTGGGCGCATGTGCCCATGCGCACCTTGAGTGCCCGTCAAAGCTATGCACGCGCACTCTTCACCTTTGAAATACGCTGTTCGGGTCCTATCAAAGTGGCTGTCTTCTGGATGATCGTCGTAAAACAGCAGTACGAGGTTGGGTCTGCGACGCCTTCCACCTTCCACGTCAGGAAGCTGTGAACCGGCACCTTTATTCTGAAGCCTATGTTCAAACCGCGGTACCACGACCGCTGAAAGTTGCGAATAGTGTGATAACTGTGGTGAAGCGCAACTGCAGTTAAGGGTTACTTAATTAAGGGTGACCGTCTAACAAGGGTAATTGCTTATAGGGTGGACGAGCAGGGGATATAACCCTGATTGCTTAACATTTAATCAATAAAGAAGCGTGCACTCCCTTATGACGTCAGGCATCTGGTCAGAACTCCTCATTCTGATTGGGTCATGCGATACGTCAGCACTTCGGGGGATGTAATTATCCAATTAGTACGTCTTAGCAACAAGCACAAGTTGTTACATAATTACGTTTTTACGAAGCTTCGAGTCTTCACGATGACGCTTCGAGTTCCGCTACTATACCGTCTGTTTGGTACTCGGTTATTATTTTTTTTTAACACACAATGTGTTATATTACTGGCACCTAGAAGTTCCCGTAACGCACTTCCCGTAACCGAAGAGACAGACACATTGAAATTAGTTGGGCACGAGGGTTGCGTCATCATTCGGTTGGGGCTCGTGTCTTCACGGCTTAAACACGAGTCCCGGTTATCCAAACGCTGACGTAGTACTCGTGTTCAGTTTGTGTTTTGCACTCCGGTAGGCGACCTAAAGATCAATTTTTTTTTCGCTACTTCCGGGACCGTATAGTTCCGACTGCAGCGCGCCTCCTGACAAACACCTAGATAATCCGAAGGAACAGATTATTCAGGAGATCAGTGGAACGTATTACAAAAGAAATATGGGAATAGACCGATCTCACTAAGCGATCGGCGCATGCGTGAAGCCGCCTTAACTTTAGTTCACAGGAGGCAGACGGCAGTGCATGCACGACGGGGCTCGTGCCATCTCATGCTCTACACGCGCGGTGCTCCACCGAGGTTGTGGCACGTGCCCAAAGTTTAACGTTCCCTCGATGCATTTCGGCAGCCGTGGCGTAGTCTAACTTGCTGGTGTAAATTCCCTTAAAAAATTCACGCTTTCAATCATCGCCAATCATTGTTGTGGAAACGCGCAAGACACGTGCCACGAGCGGGTGCTCCGCCGCCAATCGCTTCCAAGGACCGCTCATACACCGCTCATTTCAGTTACAGTGTTCTAGAGGGGGTTGTAGTGGCAAGAGCGGCGGCCGCTTTGTGAAGATTTTCCTTGTAGACGACACCATGGCGCTGCTGTTCTGTGCCCTAGGAGCGCGGCCCCGCCAGCCCCATCATCAGCGCTGTTCGGCGCTTACTACTGTGGTTTGACTGGAGCTTTTCGCGGTGCGAAACAACTGCTAATGTTGTTCTGTATAGGGTGCCTTCATGTGCGCTTTGCTTAGGGTGGTGGCATCTCGCCATTTTGTCCCACACGTTTATTTTTATTTTTTTTTTTGTTCAGAAGCGCGTGAAAGAGCGCATTCCCGCACGCGTTTGTGGCTCTGACTGTGCTATGGCGACATTTTGTTTTCGTCGATTTCTTTGTATTTTCTCCGTGAGCGCGTGCTGTCGGCATCGGGTACTACAAAGGGTGGCATCACCCTTAACGGAAGGACATTGAGGCACCCTAGTTCTGTAAAGACGCTTTGCAGCAGCTGTGCATGGACGCCGCCATAACTGACCTTCAGTTTTTGTTTCCTCTTATTCCGTTTGTTTCACTTCATCATTACCACAGCAGGCCAGGTTATTGTGACTTTAGATTCATCTGTGTCCTTTTCTAAAGCATCGGCACTTGTAGGGGATCGTCAACTACCGTTTCAGTTGTTCGGTATATCTCGGTAAGACAAGAGAAGGGCAGCAATGGCGGCTGTAATTTGGCGCGTGTGTAAAGCGTCTATACTCTGCTTCACCTTATGAATGATGTACCGCAGGAAAGGCTACAAGTGCGAGCTCCTTGCTCTGGGGCACATCTCGGCGGCACAAGCTCTCGTGCATTAAGAGCTGACAACGCTATGAGCTCGCGCTTCTAGCCTTCGCTGCGGTACAACATAAGGTGAAACGAAGTATAGTAAATTGTAGTTCTGCCTTTGGACTAATGCCCCTAGAGTGTGTGCTATCCTCTACTTGAAATATTCGCGTGTTTTGAGGGAGATTATTTAATTAATATCGACTCCCCCCCCCCCCAGTACTGACACATCGTTCAGCAACGCTATCACTTGGGCTGCAAGCTTAATAGCTGCGAAAGAAGTTCTACGGTGCTACATTTTGGAGAAGCGTACCGCGTCACCCTCGTCGTCTTCTTCGTTCATCGCACACGTGCCATTAATTCCCCTAGGGCACAGAACTCCAGCGCCACTCGCGGTGTCTACGTCGACCGTCTTCATCATCATCATCATAATGCCTTATCATCATCATAATGCCTTTATTTGTGCCAATTAACAACCAACAAAGGTCTACAATGTGGCACAGTGAAAAAAAAAATTGCACAACTGTAAAACATGCTCAACTGATAAAACTAGCATGCAACAAAACACGACAGTACATTTTTAGCGACGGAAAATAATCTCATCTAATTGTCTACTGAGATTTACGTAGCTATCAAAAATATCAAACTTTTCATGCCCAAGATTGTTTACACTTGTCTGCATTCTTGTTGTTGGTGATGTCATGTGTTGATTGTGGGGATAAAAAGTGAGAGCTGTCCTATTTGAGCGAGTCGGTACGTTAAAGTTCACTGTGAACAAAAGTGTTGAGTCAATGTCCCCGTGAACTATTTTATATAAGAAGGCAACATCGCGCGATAATCTTCTGAGGGATAGACACTGTAGGCCAAATTTGTCGAGCAGGAGTTCATAGTTGTAAAAATGCCTTCGGCCAAGGTATTTGTCATAGATTATGCGCACAAAACGTCTCTGAACTGACTCTATTTTAGCTGCATCACGTAGTGTCAGTGAATTCCACACCACAGAGCCAAAGTCTAATCTCGATCTGATAATAGAACAAAATAAACGAAGGAAACAAGCATAGTTCGCAAACTTTCTAGTTAATCGAGTAATCATTCCAAGTAATCTAAATGCAGAACAGGCAATATGGGCGACATGGCAGCCAAAGGACAGAGTAGTGTCAAAGTACACTCCTAGATCACGAAGCGATGATACTCTTAAAATGCCCTTATCATCAATTGAGTATGAATAGTGTATAATTTCACGTTTTTTACTGAAAGACATGACCTTCGTTTTTTCTGGATTGATGATTAAGCAATTTTCCCGACACCAGTCTAAAATATGCGATGCGTCACTCTGAAGAAGGTCACAGTCATCGATCAAACTAATACTTAAAAAGAGCTTGATGTCGTCTGCGAATAACAGCACGTTTGAGTTTACTACGCAATTAGATATCTCATTGATGAAGATCAAAAACAATAGTGGACCCAAATTGGAGCCCTGTGGTACTCCCGATGACGGATAAAAAGGATCAGAGAAGTTATTTAAAATGCGTACGACACAACGACGGTCAGTCAGGTAGCTTTGAAGCCATAATAAAAGCACAGGAGAAACGCCATCACGTGACAATTTGTGCAGCAGCGAAGCGTGGTTCCCCTTGTCAAAGGCTTTCGAGAGGTCAAAATAAACAACGTCAACTTGACCGCGATTACAAACAAAAGGCACTGAATAATCAAGGAAAGTACAGAGGTTTGTCTCGACTGAGCGCCCCTTGGTAAAACCGTGCTGAAAAGAACTGATACAGCGCTTGAAATAAAAAGACAGACGGGTGTGCATCACTATCTCAAATACTTTTGAAAAAGAACATAGCAATGATACAGGGCGATAGTTCCCAACTTGCGAAGTATCCCCCGTCTTATGAATAGGAACAACAATAGACTCTTTCCACAGAGATGGAAATATACCCTTACTCAATGAAATATTAAATATATGCTCTAAGATAGGCGCAAAAAGATTCGAGCAACCTTTAACAATAAAGTTAGGCACATGATCTGTACCAGATGTTAGTTTCGGCTTCAGTTTCCTTATAGCCGCCAAGATCTCGCTAACAGTGACTTTGTCTACTGCACAAACATCAGAGTAGACAGGATCGTCAAGAAATGCACTATCTTTAGGAACATCGGAGGAAAAACAACCACTGAAATGACTTGCAAAAAAGTTGGCGATATCCTTCGGGTTAGACAGATAATCAGAATTTCTTCTTAGACAGATACCGTGTGTACTGCCTTTTGTATGTTGTCTAGCAAATTTCCAAAACTTATCTGGTTTGTGAAAAATACTATTTTCTACTGCGTTTAAATGCACACACTCGTCATGAATAAACAACTTTTTAACAAGAGACCGATAAATGCTGAACTTAGCATACCACATTTGCGATCCATTTTTTTTTTGTACAATTTGTGACAATGTGATTTTTTCTTTATGTAATATATTAGATCTTTAGAATACCACGAAGGATACTTTCTAGGTTTCGATGACCGTTTTGGAATAAAGTTTTCCATTCCATTTCTCACTACCGTCGTAAACGACTTCGCCGCTGAGTCGACAGAATCGTTCTTCAAAATGGATGACCAGTCGTAATTTTCAAAAAACCTATAAAGACCAAAATAATCGCCTGTGTTGAAGGAGTAATACGTCTGCTTTGGGAGAGCTGCAGATTTCAACGAATTATGGAAGGCAACAATAAAGGGTGGGTGAAAAGCGTCAACCTTAACAAGTGAAACATCGGCAAGAGTTAAGCCGATGATTGGCACATTTGAAAGAAAAAGATCAAGGACGTTCCCAGTGCAGTTATCAAACCCGTTTAATTGACTAAGGCCATTAAAATGTATGAAATTCAATATGTGAGACGACTTGCTTGCTGTTATGCTGTTTTGACTAGTAACAAATCCTGACTGCCAGTTGGCACCAGGTAGGTTAAAATCACCATAAATGTGCACCCTGAACTTTGAAAAGTCAATTTCTTTTTCCAATGTATCAAAGTGTTCATTAAAAATACGATTATCCGATAGGGGAGGGAAATAATAATTCCCAATTAGATAGTTACAACCATCATTTGAAAGCAATTCTATCCAAACGCATTCTGGGTAGGTTTCAAGGTCTTGTCTACGATGCGAGGTAACTGACTGATTTACGGCGATTAATACACCGCCTCCGAATTTCTGGCGAGTTAAAGCATAATCACGGTCACGACGGTGGACGGTATAAGAAGGCGGAAAATAGTCTGCACTTGAAATTTCCTCGTTGAGCCATGTTTCAGTTAGACAAATGATATTAAAATTGGAAGAGACTACATTTGGCAGAAATGTGTCTGCTTTGGTTCGTAAGCCACGAGTGTTTTGGTAGTACGCATTAAATGTCTCCATCATTCATCTTGGCATGATTGTTTTCAGATGTGCTCGTACGCGAAGCGTCACGCGCTTCATTGTAAGCGGGCGCCGCTCTTGCCACTACTCCCTCTAGAACACTGTAGCTCAGTGCTGCGCCGCCATCTGCTTCCTAGCGCCGCTCGAGACATGGGCCTCGTGCACTGGCACACCTGACGCTACTTGCAACATAAACCCAAACACGTCGAGGGGCTAGTGAGATCAGACTATTGTCCGTGGAACAGACTGACCACGAATTGTCTATCGCTGGAAGCCATTCTATCCTTGTTGGCTGCCTTACGTTCACCGCACGGAAGAATAAAACGAGCCTTGTAAATGCTTCAAAAGAAACTGCCGCGTGCGGGACACAGCACGAAGTAATTTGTTCATTTTGGCGAAAATATGATACCTGGTCCATGCTTTGTGGAGGGTGAAGGTCCGTTCTAGACGCTATTCGCAACTATCACGGCCCATAGTTGGCCCATTGTAATAGATGAGCCGTGCGTGGTTGGGTCTGCTACGGGTAAGTAATTCTAATTTTGTGAAATACGAGCGATATGAGCACCTTGCCTCACACTTCCAGGAAGGTGTAAAAAAGCAGCTTCATTTTGAAGCCAATCATCCAGGAGCTAGGGAGCGAGCGTGATTCTCACACCTTGGTATACCACCATTATGAAAGTTGGGAATATTAGGTCGCTTTATATGGAATGCGAGCAGGCTCACCTGCGAACACCAGAGTATTCAGCGCTCCTTCTATTCCAGGATGCGTTATCCTAGGGTTAGGAAAACTCACGGACGCCACCGATTGTATGTAAAAAACAGCTGTTTTTTTTTTTTCTTTGTTTCTTGTAGGAAAGCGGCCCAGAACTTCAACCCACTCATGTGCAAAGCCGCGAACCACGCCATAGCAGAGGTCCGTCTTTTTTTATCTCTCTCAATTTTTATCACGAAGTTATATCCTATAATACGGCATATTCACAAACAAGGGCGGATGAGCTGTGTATATAAACACACACTCACTAATTTTAGGTATTGTAGAAAGACGAGTTCTGTACGTTTAAAAGCGAATGCTATACGCATAACACGAATGCTAATCAAATAACAATAACTATCCTTTTTTTTTACTCCAGTTGTTTCGTATTAGTTATATACCCCGCTGAGACCTGTATATGGGGTACGGGACATTTGACTATAAGTGTTTCGGTTTACCTTTTTGTGTCCCTGCATGCCACCCCCACCGAACGGCCAAATAATACGAAATACAAATAAATCAACATGGGTAGCTTGTTGTCCCATAGCCCCCTTTTCCCCGAACGAGCACATTTACGGAATGTGTTAATTCGGGAAACGACAATTGTTCCAAATAAGGTGATTAACAGGTGGATATCTCAAAACTGCGGTAACACTGCTTGCACATTGTACAAAAGACAGTCCGCACACAACTAGGGAGTTTTAGGGAACCGTATTTGCACATCCGATACGGTACGGTGGGCCCTCCGGTTACCAACTGCGCATGCACGAGTCTTCTGTGGTATAGCGCATGCGCAGTTCGTACCGGAGGGCCCATCGTATACGGTATCGGACGTGCAGAAACGGTTTCCTAAAACACTCTGCTGTTTGAAGCGTGTTTCTTCCTTGTATATGACGGTTCCCGTGACGTTGGTCACACGAAAAGTGTCTGGAGACATGTGTTCGAAGCACACGTATGTGTGAAGCAGACGGGCTTCGAAGATGGCTCAAGCGTGTCCGCGGATAATAGTGTCAACTGGTCTGCGGAGAAACTCCGTGTCTGCTTAAATTCAATCTCAAACTGGAAACATGACGCAGGATGTGACGAATAGATCGCATTCGCATATCTTTATTAATGCTAGCGCAATATGTAGCTTCAGTACGACAAAATAATCCGTGTTTTGTCTTGCTGAAGGTAATGTTTTCTTTTGTGTGTGTGTGTTGCGTTTCAGGTGGAAGAGGTATGCGAGATTGGAGATATCCCACCGGATCAGGTGCACCTTGCCGGAATCCACGTCGACGGCATCTGCAGAGGATCGCGGTCATCGAAGGAACTGGTGGTGACGTTTTTTTTTGTTTTTTTTTTTGTTTTTTGTATACCAATTCTTTTTTCTCGCGCAGAGCGACGAATGGTTTGTTCATTCAGTTGCTTTTGTTTTTAACGTGAAACGTTCTTTGGTTATGTTTACTCCGGGTTTTGTGAAGCCGTGGCCTGCGACGTCCCATGATGCAACGCGCGCAGTGTTGCATTATGGGACCGTTACAGACGCATACACACCAATTCAGTTTTCCCGCTAAATTTAACGGGGAAATTGACTTTACGTGACCGTATGTCACTCCATGATAGAATGCTTGACGTGTCCAACTTATTTGCCCAGCAATTAGCCATGCATTTTTTTATCAATATTTCTCCAAAATGCGGCTTAATTGTGGCCAAGAAAAAAAAAAATTAAAAGGCACACTCCTACCTGCATTAACAAACACACCTGTCTCTTTTAAAATTGTTTATTCGAAAAAAGACAACAGTGTAACAAAATGTCGATGATTTATTCAAACGTTAATTTTGGCCTATTTCAAAAAGGAACATGCGAAAAAAAAAAATTGCTTCCATTCGTATATAAATATACTCTCTTCTAACAACCATACACTGTCTTCCAATAACTACATGCTGTCTTCAAATAACCATGTTGCAACTCCTTTCTTGTTTGTTACCCAAGATTTGCAAGACCCAGAACGCACAAAATGAAGCGATCGACGACTACAAAGCTCGCATCATCCGAAGGGCAGTCCTGGAATTTCAGGACGGGATGTACGGTATCCTTTCATTTTTAAACCATGGGAGTTTGAATCCCGCCATGCGGGAATTTTCGGAACGAATGCGCAACCGCCATATCATCGTTACAATTTAACAATTACACGCCAAACTAACATTACCTGATTTGTCTTCCCGCTCTAAAAATGCTCGTCTGTGTTTATACCGAAATCTTCATACCACACGAAATTCAATTGGAATGTTTTTCACTTTACACGAGCTTACTGGCACTAGTGGGACTCAAGGATACTCACACGGACTGCCACAGGCCAAGAGAGTCCTTTGGTGCGGTGTAATTTCATTTTGAGTGAAAAGCGAGCGTTTTCATTCAATGTCTCCTTCGCAAAACTTGATGACGTGGTTGGACAGTCGAAGTACCGCCCAGGGACGATATTTGAATGCTGCTGATAGATTGGACCCGAGCATTGCGTGGGCACTCGATTTGGGCTCGTGATAATCGATAGCTCGAGAAGCGTTCGGGTAGTGGCCCGTGTCCACCGTGCCCGTGTCCAATTGCTGCAATGACGATAATAGCCAAGCCATAACAATGTCTGGAACTCAGCGCGTGTCCTGTGCGTTTCCAGCCCCAGCGCGTTGCTATGATCAACATTGGCGGCATATAATCTGCTCCAGATCACGTGGACGCTTGTTCTGGCTGCGAGTTGAGGGAATGAACGCTGCTCGTTTTTCTTTAATTTTTCTGCGACTTCGATTGCGTGCGGTGAAAAACGAACGGGTGTTTCACAGGTCATTAACGTCAGGGATCCGTTATAAGCAACACAACAACAGAGGCGATGCAACAAAGGGGCGATGCAACAGAAATCGTTGCATCGCCCGTTTAAAGAAGCGATGCAACAATACAGCTTAGAATTATTCTTCGACATTTATAACCTATAAAACACACGTTACTTTTTTTTTTTTTTTAAGCAATGGCAGTTGCAGAAAAAGTTCGAGAAATAGGAACACCGTTTACCCGTACAACTCGCAGAAAAAAAGCGGCCACGTGATCTAAAGCCAATTATATGCCGCCAGTGTTTTTTTGTTTTTAATATATATATAGCCGCGCGGAACGGAGCCCCTGCCCGAATGCATGTCGAGGCATTGATTGCCACGAGTCAAAATCGAATGCCTACGCAGACTTCGTGTCCACTGTATGAGCAACATTTAAATATCGTCACGGCGGGGATCGCAAAGTTTGATGACGCACTCCTGGGGATCGCAGTGTTGGCGTTGTCTCCACCGCTCCGTCGTCAAATTTTGCGAAGGGGAGACTGAAAGTAAAGGTCTTCCACAGTAACCCTGAGACGTAGTAAAATAAAATAAAAATAAAAAAAAACGGACAGAACAGTCTCTAACACAAGTAAAGGTTCACTTTTAACCTTGGAATTCCACCGCGATCAAGACACTTCTTGGTAAGCGGCGCTGCGTTCGAGTATTCTCGGGTCCCACTAGTGTCAATAAGCTGATGGAAAGTGAGAAACGTTCCTACTCAATATCGTTGCACCGCCCCTTTAATGACCCGAACATCACATGAGTGCAAACCCTCCCGCGTCAATGGCTGTCATTAGTGATGCTGTTCTTCTTAAAGGGATACAGCAACGAAATTCTAGCGCCTATTTTATTGTTTAAAGTCAGCCACGCTCTGGCCTCACGCGGAGACGGCAATTTTTTGCTCGAAAAGACATTAAAACAGAATTCAAAAGGAATAAACCGAATGTCGATATGTCAGTCTGCACTATGCACATGGGGCCCGCGGACCGCCGCGAAGCCCTGCCTCCCGGCAATTAAAGTTGTCTTCTATCAGATTGAGAACAAACGCTCCAATTTTCGGGTAGTTTTTTCGTGTGTATGTCAATAAGAGAAGTCTACTTCACACTAGCCCTTAGCTATATCCATTTATTAAGTCACTATTATAATTAACCTAACACTTTTCCTTCCCCTCACCACGAACGGGGTCTTCCATCATCTCCGCCGATCTACAAGGGGTCCGCGAAACATCAGTGGTTGAGAAACACTGCACTAGAGTTCTTGTATAGGCTCTGTACGGGAGCCAGAGTTGCGCGTCTGTTTTCCACGTGCCGTACCGCCGCTATTCGCCGAGATTGATCATGTGAGGAGCAAATAATGCAGCTCCGTGCAGGAAAGCCACCGCGCCCCGGCATATGTCCCCCTGCTTTTGCCTTCTCCTCTTTCCTGTTGTCAATGCGCGGCGGCGAGCGCGGAGCCGCTATTCGCCGAATTCAGTCATGTAACGAGCAAAGAATCCAGAGCCGTGCAGGAAAGCCGGCACTACGGCCACCCGCCGAGGATGACCCGGATTTCCCATTCTCTTTACGGGGAGCGGGGAGGGGCAACCAAAAACGGCCAGGTCGCGTTGACGACGCCAAGTGGCAGATCATCACCACGCCAGCCCCCAAGCAGCTTTGCCCGTGCTGGACCAAGTGACGTCGCGTCTGTGACGTCAATTGGTCTGCTCCCGTGATGCACCGTGCACTTCTATGGCTGACCTTCGAGCGCTCGCTAAAATCGCTCCTTTGTAACGAAAAATGTTGCCATCCGTTCAAAATACAAGCTTGCGATTGTCACTACCAGAATGAGTTGATTATGTATAACCTATTTCTGAACGTGAGAGGTATATTTCAAGTTTCGATTCAGTACCCCTTAAACGTACTCTTAGATCTTTTTTTCTTGTGTTCACTCCCCTTCTGGAATGCACTTTGTACTCTGAGGGCAAAGCGTTCGCCAATACGGCCTCAGGAAGCCGCCATCTTGCTCTCTTGGGGTGTGCTTGGACGGGTCATAATCCGACTACGACGCCTCGCTAAGGTGTCGTAATTGGATTATGACGTGCCGCACAAGCACACCTCAAGCGAACAAGATGGCGGCGCCCTGAAGCCGTACCCGTAAACCTGTATACACGAACTCATCTCTGTTATGTCACGGCGCGGTGGTGGCGCGTCGGACGCACTTCCGGTCCGGGGCTGTGGGCGGAAGTGCCCATCAGAGGCGTGTATTCCTGCGTTGTTTTGAAAGGAACCAGACAAAAACCTGCCTTCTTGTCAAAATGCCGCGACTGGGGCTGTACCAAAAGGGTCGAGAAAGGTTTGAAGGTCAGTTTTCATGCGCTCGGTTCGTCCGAGAACGTGGATATGTGCCGTGAAAAGGGAAAACCAGACGCCGTCGGACCACGATTGCTTGTGCGGGAAGCATTTTGGGTTGAATTCACGGATACTTCTGGCCATCAGATTTATTTGTTTTGTTCCAAAATGAACGCCGGCAAACCGTCAAGTTGTACGGACCACCTGCGGAATACGTTCAGTGCGTCTTCAAGTTCAAACGGTCGCCTGATCGTTCGAACTGTCGTCTGCTCTTTCAAACGTTTCTGCTTGTCGTCTGCTCTTTTAGAGGACACCGGCCCGCAGACCAAACGTGGGCCCGGTACTTGCGATAAGAAGTAAGTGCAGGCCTCAAAAGACCTAAGTTTGAAGGTTGGTAAGCAGGCTCGACGTAAACAGTAGATACAAGGAGATGTTGATCATTGTTACCAGTGACCATCACCGACTTGTTATGCCTAATTCACTTCGTCCGATTCTGCTTGCGATTTTCAGTATCGACGTCGACCATCTCAGCTAAGGTTCACGCTTTTGCAGTCCGAGCGACGTCGCTACTGAAAATTGCGAGCGAAATCTCATCATGCGAATCAGGCTTTAGCGTTCATTCTGCGGCGTCCAGGCGGAATGAATCGCCGCATGTCAGATTATTCACGCGAAGTTTTGCGGTGTAACGAGCCTCGTTAATTTCGCTGACGCCGCTCAAGTAGTCAGACATCGTTAGGAGGTTGTAAAATCAAAAATTCCTACGCGAAAAAGAGCGAGGGGACTCACACCAAGGCCGACAACATCGCATTTCAATGGTTTGTTTATGGGCGACGGCGAGCTTCTTGCCCACACCCCCATCGCGCATGCGCGGCGCCGGTGGTGTCCGCTAGGGGCGCTCCGGGCGCTCCGGTTTGTTTGTAAACATGAGTTGGTGTATACTTCCTTTGCTGTCATCCTGGCTAATCCCACCCTCCCCCTAAATAGAAAAATGAAAAAAGAAACAGATACAAGACGCGCTCAAAAGGACAAGGTTTTCTTGACGAAAGTCCTCAGTCAACTTGGGCATCGGTATCCCCCTACTTGCCCTGAGCTACATGCCCAAGGGGATTCGGGTCGTGCTCCACAGCGAAAACGGAATTTTGGGTGTGGTAAGTCATTAGATGTTTTCGTAGATCGTTTCGATGACTCCGAAAACAATAACCGATAGCGATACGATGCATGAATGCGCAAGGGCGTCGGCGGAGTATCGGTTTCGTTATCGGAAGTACCGGGACGATCTACTCAAACTTGCTAATGATGAAGATTCGTACTTTGGTTTCTTCTTTTGATACCGTGTTCGACAGCTGACTAGGTCACGACTCGTGACTAATGAGCCGAAATTAGAAGGGTCGCGAACGCCACAGGGTGAACGGTCAACATCCGCTCGCACGCGACTAGCACAGGCATTTTTGACACACACGCGTGCGTGCGTCTGTGCGTCTGTGTGTTTGTGTGTCGTTGGCGACACTAAGCCAACAGAGGTGGAACAAGACCCTTCCCCATTTATTCATTTTCTTCCTCTCCTTTTCCTTAGTCAGGCCGCCGCTGAAGCGACCGGCGTTGTCGAGGAATGTCATTAAATGTCAAAAGTTGGAAATATGTCTTGTCCTCTCCCCGTCCTTTTTGGCGTTCATGTTGCTTTCTTTTATCCCAGTAACAAGAATATGTTTTGTATTGTACACGAGTAAAATAAAGCGAAAGTCCGCTCGACCAGAAGCAAATTCAATTAGTATGATGAGCAACTCCGAAATCAGAACACTCCGATTACTACGTGTACTATTACAAAAGAGGTCACTATAACGGGCCAGGTCTTCAGAAATTACCAAAACAAAACACGTTGCGAAAATCCTGTTTTGTTATAAGGTTTGATACGCAGACTATTTGGATCTGCGACTGACGTCAGACGCCCGATTTTTCATATTGTGCCCTTTAGTCACTGACAGAATGAGACGGAGGGACAACAAACGGAATTTCAGTAACACCTTCAGCGGAAGCTTCGATAACTCTTCGGCGTCTTGTGAACCTCGAGCGTGCACGCAAAGCCGAACTACGAAGGAAGGCAACGAGCGCATGCTGGAGGTCGGTTTGTCGGAAAAAACGCCATGCCCTTCTCACTCTGCCGGTGACTTAACCTCAGATATATATATTTTTTTTATTGTGCTTAACGTATGCTAAATTTATCTTCATCTAATGACTGACTGATGACGTTGATGCAGGGCCCTTACCCGACGGAAGATGAGGTGGACCCTGACATCATCAATCCTGGCAAAGAAACAGTCACCGCCCTGCCTGGAGCATCCTTCTTCAGCTCCGACGAATCGTTTACGCTGGTCAGAGGGTGAGGGTAAAACAGAGCAATGATCGAGACAAGAAGAAGTGCTAATCCACAGTTTTAGACGTTAGTGGCCTAAGAATGACACACCACTTTGTATACTGTCGACGCTACCTCCCTCCGCGGTAGCTCAGCTGGGCATGTCTGCTGAACTTGGAGTCCATGGTCGGTTTCAACTTTCTTCTTTCCATCTTCTTGGTTTTGACAGGAAGAAAGTTCTGATTTCAGGCGCGTGTCCTCGTGGACGGTTACTTTGACAAATCTGTTTGTGCCTTTCAAGAAGAAATGTCTGCCGGGGCTGGGCATTCAACGAAATTGGTGGGTAGTCGGAGGTGCGTTGCTCAGAGCTGAAAATACCCAGTACATTCCACGAGAAATGTCACGAATGACAAGACAATCGAGTGAAGTAGCAAGGAAACTTAAGGCTGATTCAAGCTAATTCGTGCTTGTACAATAGTTAAACGAACCGTTACGCTGCAACGTCCAGGTAGGGCTCCTGAGCCGTCGCAAATCTGCGGACCCCCCCCCCCCCCCCCCCAACAGTCGAGAAGGTTCCAGGCTCGAACCATTGTCACTCTGCGCGATTATTGCCGAACGTTCTATGGTGAGATATACGTGAAGAATGAGCCTGAAGCTCTACCCCCACACCCTCATTACCGCCAGCCATTGTTCCTCCACGACGCATAAATAGTCCGCTATCGATGCGCACGTCGCGCTGACGTCACATGACTCGTCAATCGTCATGGCTATGTGCCCTGGATGGTCCGCGGAGCGATTCAACGTCGTGGCCAGGTGCGTGGTGGTGTCTATTAGGGGCATGGTAAACCTATTTACAACCGCTATTTTTTAATTATGGACACAACGGCTAATCTTGATTCATATTACCCAGCATGAAAAGGGTTTCTTAATATTTCGTGACTGCGTTTTAGGGGCCATCTTGACCTCACAATGCTGGGCGGAATGGAAGTGTCGCAACACGGAGATCTGGCCAACTGGATGATTCCTGTAAGCCGACCTCTATTTCATCACCGTAGCAGTGGGAGTATATGGTGCATTGCAGTCTAAAGCGACACTTTAGTTGTCTGAAAGTAAAGAAGGAGCAAGTAACAATACCATACTCCTGACCGAAACCAAAGCTATGTTATTACCAGGATGCACTTAAGTGTTTTTAACTGTTAACTGGTCATTTGGCCGTCAAGTAAACCGTAACGAAATCTGAAAGTGCTTTCTAGTCATTAGGACGGCCTTCCTACACATCTTAGCTGTCCTCAAGATGATCAAAACATATGGTTGTGTTTATTTAAATAAACTACGTATACATCCACCCCTTTACGGATCAATAGTGTCCCTAGAATGTTTTGTGAAAGTGTTTTTAGGCTGAATGCAAACAATAAAGCATGAAAGGAAGCCGGGCGCAAAACCTAACTACGACGGTCTTCCTTGCCGTTGCGCCCCTAGCGGTTAAGTTGAGAACTAAAGCCATCGGAGAAACAACGTGAATTATTTGTGTGTGTTTCTGACGCCGTGCTCGGCTGACATAGCCGAACGCCGCGTCGGTGTTCGGCTGTGGCTCGTGATCAATCCGTGAAGCACAGATTTGATACGAGACCCATGACGAACGCGGCACGCGTGTCCCATCTGCTCTGTGATCAATCCCCGACGATGACCTAAAACATCCAGCATAGGCCTTGTGTTGGATAAACACCAATGTCTGTGAAAGAAGCTAGACAAAGCGTACCCTATATATAGTTCCTATAGTTCAATATCCTCGCCAATAGGGCAAGCTGTTGAACGGGATGGGCGGAGCCATGGACCTGGTGTCAAGCAAAGCGCTCGGGACCAAGGTCGTGGTCACCATGCGACACGTCACCAATGACGGCAGGCCCAAGATCCTGGAGAGGTGCACGCTCCCGTTGACGGGACTCCGCTGCGTCGACCTCATCATCACGGACATGGTATACAGGACACGTTGTCACGCTTCAAAATGATTCCCAGTATTGATTTTGCAAGAAGAGGGCTTTGGGACAAAGTGCGAATGTGGTTTGTTCTTGCTTGCTTTTGTCTCTTCATATTAGCGAAGAGATCTCGTCATCTGTACAAACCGCAATAAGCCAGACACCCTTATTTGATGCCTGAAGTCTCAGGTGGTTGAAGGTACGGCACTTATCAGAACCCGGCAACGCCAGATTTGAAAGGATTCGGATAGAAAATCATGGCGTATAGGAAGTGAAGGTGTAAGAGCTAGGATTCCAGCAGCGTTTGACTGGGATCTCTCGTTCCTTGTTTCCACAGTGCGTGTTCGAAGTATGCGAAGACCAAGGCCTCACACTTACAGAAATTGCGGAGGGTCTCGGGCTAGAGGACATCATCCGAAACACAGGGTGCGCCTTCAAGGTATAATGTGCATTGCGGCCATATATTCTCGACTTTATGATGCTGTGACGTAAGAGCAGTACTAACCCCGGCGAAACTCCAATAAATTCAAAGAAGCTCAGTTTTCTCGTTGACTTGTACACCTCTAAAAGATGCACAAGAATTTTAGAAGTTCGAAGTATTATACTGAGAAAAGGACGTTCTTACTATACAATGATTTTCGTAAACGACATGCAGCTCGTGGATACCGGTATTGGTTTGCTTATAGATAGTTGGCGTAACTTACTAAATGTGCCTATTTCTCCCAGCGGCAACCAAAGCTATAATGCACCAATATAGTGACACAATAAATATACACCGCGGTTGACTTTTTTTTTATGGTAAACAATTTTTTTAATCAAGAGTGCAACATCCGCGTTCTATTACCGCTAGTTAGGCGCCTGCCCCACGAGTGGGAACTTTGGTGCACCCCCGGGGTTTCCCACGTGCTTCAAGTCGTTCTAAAATTGACCGATTTAGTGGTTTTCGATTATGCGCAGCAAGTTTCTAATTGGAACCATGTGGTTATTTTCAATATTTAAAAAAAAACTAACGAATTCTAGTTAATTAGTGAACAGACAGTGGCAGTTATACGCTGCTATAATGTCCGCTGAACTCGACAAAACACCTAGTGAAGACGGCATTCAACTAGCAGTATATGCACTCTTTCTTAAAAATTCCGTGTCCATTAAAAAATATCACCCGGTATATATTGCTCTTCTATTCCATCGGTCTCCTCGTTTTAAATGATTTCTCTGCATCTTTGAAGCCATATTAACAAGGGCTCTTTGGAAGGGTTTCAGTCGTTACGATTCCGGGCCTTCTATAGCCCCTGAAGTCTCTAGAAAATGACGGAGTCGAATTAATAGCACTCTAACGCACCTGTACCTAAATGCATGTATATTATCGTCTCTCCGGGGAAGAAATCTCCGAAACAAAGGGTTGATATGAAAATAACAAAAAGCACAGGGAAAATGAAATTGTGCTCTGCAAGTTTATGTACACCGGCTACACTTAACCGTCGCAGCTCAAATACCCATAAAATAGGGCATTAAACAAAAGAAAATCTGTTAAAGGAGCTGTGCAACGATTTTAACGTTGAAAGAATTGACATCTTCTACTTTTGACATTGTTCATCTTGTCACTAAGGACAGAAAACACACCTCCTTCCTTTAAAATGTTGCGATTCCGCCGCGTAATCGCGAGGCAAAAATTAGACGATAGTCCCCGACCTGCAGTCGCGAGCGGCGGCCATGAGAAACACGCGGCATGACGTCAATGGGAGTCTTGTAGACAGATAGAAAGTTGTGCGAATACCTGCTCGGAAAAAGGTAACTTTTCTTTAAATCTTGTCGTTCCAACATAAATATAAATGCGTCGAAAACCTGGTATCATCGACAAAACTTTTATTATATGGAGTTCTAGGGGCGCCGCGCCCGCCATATTGTTCGCGCCGGGCGCCGCGCCCGCCAGCACGTAGTCACGTGGTCGCGAGCGGATGAGTTCTCGCTGCTCACTGACGGCTCTAGAGAGCTTCACCGGAAACCCGCGCGTTGCCCATTGACGTCACAGCGCACGTGACTCGGAAGATGGTGAAGGAGTTGAGAGGTGCCGAGAACCTCAATCTTTGTCCATTTATAAAATAAAAACTAGGACATGCAGGCAAAAGCGGCTTTTTGTTCTTTACTTCAGAAAGGTCGAGACACCAACTCCCAAATTATTTAGGCCAAGCACTGAAATTGTTGCACAGGTCTTTTAAGCGTTTAGTCCAAACAGTCAGCCTGTTTACGATGAATTACTGCCACCGCAGGTATCACCCGGACTCAGGCCGATGCAGCAGGCGGACACGTGACGGAAACACGCCTACAATCCGAAAATAAAGTTGTTTTCGTTTTATAGATGTTGTTAAACACTGCTTCATAACTTGCCGGACTAAACCTGGTCGACTTACTAAACTAAACAAGCAGACGGTCGAGCCTTTTCCGAGAAGCGTTCTGCGCACGCGCGAGCGCCCGATGCCAAGCGGTGGAAGTCGGCATGAAAAATCGAGGAAATTCGGAAGAAGGAAGTGGATCAGCGAGTAGAACACAGCATATATATATATATATATATAATTGTGTTACACAAAAAGAAAGTGGACGGAAAGAAAAACAAGACGTTTGGGTGGACGCCACGGATGCCCCTCTTTAATGTCGCGTTGGGCACGCGCCGCAGCTCAGAGAGCGAAGAAACTGGTAGCGCAGCTCCCATTATCGATTGGTAGCGCGCAGGTAGGGCCTTCCTCGATTTTTATTTCGTGCAGCCACCGCCTGGTGCCGATCGGTATGGGAAAAAGGTCCATTAAAATGCACACGAAGAAAAACAGATGCAGTTTGTTCGGAACCAAGATTTTCACTGTCATTTTTAGCGTAAACATTCTTTTAATGTGTGTAGACAGACACGAAGCATGAGGGTCGCAGTGTTGGTGGATATTCAAGGAATCTTCTGGGCGGCCTCCAAGAGATTCGAGCTGGATCTCTTGGAACTCTGTAGTTCTCAATCTTCGGCATTCGGCATTCCCGAATCTTAGGATTCGGGAATGCCGAATTTTTCTGAAGATTCGGAAAAAATACATTGTTGCCGGACCTAAAGGTTGGTATATTGTTTTTGCCTGCGAAGGAAGTTTTTTAGGTTGTTTTTTTTTAATAGATATTGACACAGTTATTACTAAAATAAGCTGATATTCTACAAGATGATTGTATCGGTGTCATTTCTGAGTGTTTAATGGTAATTTAAAAGTGACTTTTTGCAGAAGTGGCGTGATAATGGGGTTTGGTAGTAGGGGCAGTAGGGGCAGTAGGGGGCGCAGTCAGCGCAGTCACGATACGCGAGCTTCGGTTTTGAGGCCTCGTCCCCTCGTCAGTGCACGCCTGCAAGTGCGCATTGTTGAAATAGAGGCGGTAGCACTGTGTTCTTACTTTCTCAGATTTCTCTGCGAGTCACCGCTTCGTGAGCGAAAGAATGCAACAGCTGCTGAGCCTCCACCAGAAGAGATAACAATATTATTGTAAATATGCATGTTTTTCGATTTGAGTCACTTCAGCTTTGCATGAAAGTGTGCGTCCCATATTCGCAACGCCTCGTTTTTCACTTTTAAGATGCCGGTTCCTGACGTTTGGACACACCGGACATTTAGGAAGACGGAAAGAGTTAGGAATATCGGACGTGCAGCGTCGAGCACGATAGTTGTGTTTAGTTTTATACGGATCGATGAAAACCGCGAAATAACGCTAATTAAAAAGTAATATTTTGTTTTGGAGCGAACTACTTGTGAGCCGAAAGCAGGATTGCTATTATGGCGAGGAGTGCTTTATAGTACTTGTCAGTCAATGTTGCAACTACCTCGTTACATCACTGGGAATATCAAATGAAAATCACGTTATCCCCAATGTACCGCATCATTTGTCAGTTGCGCAGTGGACTGGGTCATTTTTGCGTAAATTTTTGGTCGATCTTCCGCTCTTGAGGCAGAAAATATTGAAGAGAACCAGATTCACAAAGGCTAACAAACACTTACCATGTCGTCCACTCCGCACCTCGTCGTAACCGCTGGTAGCACTAGACTGTAGTACGATGGTAACCGCTCGACCACACGGCGTCCATCTGCAATCCATGGCATCGTCCAGTTCTAACGCGTGCGCAGACGTTTGCCGAATTTTCGCCCTCTCTTTGCCGAACTTTGCCGAATCTGAAGTTCGGCAGGTTCGGTTCATCACTACTGTTTACGTGACGTCACGGACCGCGAAGAAGCCACTCGCGCTCCGAGAAATTCTCGGTGCACGAAGAGCGCGCTTGAGTGTCTCTGGTGGCACTACTGTCCGTTTAATAGAGAGTTTTAGGGAACCGTTTTTGCACATCCGATACGGTACGATGGGCCCTCCGGTACGAACTGCGCATGCGCCTGTCTTCTGCGATATTACCGTAATGCGCTGTTGGAACCGTAAGGCACGACCGGCACGACCAATGGCCGACATGGACAGTCTCGCTTCGTTAGCAAAACGGCTATTTCGCTGGCGGAGAGGGCGTGCCGTGGCTCCAAACACGAATAAAATAACTCGTGGCAGTACCTGGCAGGAGCGCCATGTGTGACAGCAAGTCCATAAAGTTTGAGTCAGCAAAAAAGAAAAAGAATAAAGAACAAAACGCAATAGGACTTTTTTAATAGAAATAAATTGGTGTTTAGCGCAGCCCAAAATTGTCTGCTCGGTAGCTCAGTGGATTGAAGCGCCGATTTCTTCAGCTCAGAGAGGACCGGTAGTGGAGAGTTCGAATCCCGCTGGCCCAGGAAAACATTTTTTTTTTACTTTTTTTTATTTTTTTTTTTTATTTTAAAAATTTTTTTTTTTTACATATTATAAGTTTTTTTTTTTTTTTTACGCAAACATTGGATGTGCATTTTGAGCACTTATCACCCGTTTTTCACAGCTGCTGTTATGACAGGATTATCTGTAGTGGCAACAGAGTGTGCAACAGCCTTCTCCATCAAGGCTCTGGATACTTTTTAGTTTAAAAATGTTGCATGAATTAAAAATTTCTGTACAAATGCTAATCACATATATCCTATAAAACGATCCTTTGAATATTCGGTGATAGTTTTAATAAGTGCACAGCAGTAAAGTTACAGGTTTTCCTTTGCATTTTCTTCGTGGTCGTACCGTACACGGCGCAACGATCGGTACGCGGGCGTACGACCGTGATCGTCTGCCACCTGTACCGTAAGAGAGCAACATGAGCGCCGCATCTACCTCCGTCCTTCCGCCTCCTCCTCGCAAGCGATTTACAGTAGTAGACAGCATCTTTCTACTTCAGGAGCTGCTAGGCGCTACTCCTTTTTCGCTCCAGCACTTTGGAATGAAGCAGCGTTGAAAAAGAACTTCTCGTTGCGAGGAGCGAAGGAACGGATTGACCTCCTCGTAAATAAAAATAGAGATTTAAGACGTACTGAAAGATACGTCATTTCAAAAATATACACACTGTATGGAAAGTAACGAATTCCCAGAGTCCCTTATGAATATAGAATCTACTAGGGTACTAAAAAGGAAACAAAGGAATTGGTGTCAAGCATCTGAGCTGTAGATATCGTAGCCCAACCGTTGGAGATATTTCGTACTTTTATTTCATGGTTGCGTGAGTAGACTTGGCTATAAACACCTATATTTCATGCTCTAAAGTGTTCCTTTTTGTATTTATTTGTGCTGCTAATTTTGTGTTCCTTTCATTTTTTTTTTGTGCTGCGGAGTGTTTTCTTTTTTTTGTAACAACATGTATTGTAGTTGGTCGCCTGTCCCCACATACAAACAGAATGCTGCTTTTGTGGGCCAGCTCTTTATTTTGTATGACTTGATCTTAAAATAAAAATTGAATTAAATTGAAAAGTGAATTGAAAATTGAATTGAATTAGCTTTGTACAAGAAAAATGACCGCATCAACTTGAGAAAGTGAGTATATTTTGGTTATTTTTGTATTTTCTTCGAGATTTAATATTTCTAGTTTTATTTGTCCATAGCTTTTTTAATACTCGATCTTGCATTGGGCCTCAAGGGAAAAAGACAGGATCGCTAGCAGACGACTTCGAATGTTGATGATAAGCGCGCGCGAGCGTGTTCTTGTGCCAAATCGAGTTTGCTTTCGGCAACGTTTCAGCATATCAGGACGTGGTTCGTGTAAACATCATATTTGTTGATGTAAAACACCGAAGTTTGCCCGCTGAGAACGCATGATTTATTAGAAAACAAGTTACCATGTACGGTCGAGGCATTATTTTATTCCCCAAGTATATAAATCTGGTAAACTGAAAGAAAAAAAACCCAAAATACGCTGGCGCATCATTCGTGGTATCCGCACATCATTCCTGGTATCACAACTTTTTTGTTTACTCAAAAGCTACGCCAAGTGGAACGTCCTGTGCCTTGCCGCCAACAAGCGCCTTCTCTTAGTGTATCGGTGCTCGGTGGCACCCGAAAGAAATGCGACTGTCACGGCAAACCAAAAAGAATGTTTATTCCCTCGTGCCCCTGCACAAGTCACGGGCCCCACGGCACGCGCGTGCGTGCCTCGCTTATAGAAAGCGGGAAGTTCAAAAGAGACTCACGCCACACTTAGTGCGCAGACAGTCGTACAAAATCACTTTTTCTAAATTGCTTTCGCTGAATAGAGCCAACTCCAAGTCATGGTCAAAAAGATCGAGCGCCATTGTTGTCGGAAAGCTCGTCTGCTTCTTTAGCAGACGAACATTTTAGAACGTCGCTGTGCTAGGGGCGACACGCCATGGTGTGCCAGGTTTTGTATTACGGAAGCGCATTCATTCCAGTAAAAAAACGAGACGAATTATAAGTAGGTATACTATATTTTTGGTTCTCTATATATTTAGGGTGCGATCTTTATTTACTTCAGTTTCTGCGATTTGTACAAACACACGCAAATTTGTCTTTTCTCGATGAGGCGGATGCAGGTTTCCGTTGCCAGGGGGCGCGACCTGTACCGATCGTCTGCTATCGTCTGCAAATACGGTTCCCCCAAAGCCGTTTCAGGGCACGCGATCGGTCCACACGCCCGATCCAAGGTATCGATCGTTTTTGTTTATCGATCGTATTTTATTCCGGTTCCCTAAAACTCTCTAATGAAAAAAGTGCATGCCAAACTCTCGCGCTCCGGAGCACGCGCGTAGACCGCGATTGCCACTCCGCTAAGCCCTCAGCAACGAGGAACCCGCTACTGCGCCTGCGCGCCGATGACCTTGGCTGTAGAGTTCCAAGTTTCGTAGCGGGTTGCGGAGAGCGTTGCGGGACAGGGGGGTAAAGGTGGGTGAGGAGGAGTGGCAAATCCCGTGCGCCGACACCCGGGGTCCCGAGTGAACGATCGCAAAAGAGAG